AAATGGACTCAATTTGCACTATTTCTGGCAGTCTGCAAAGGCCCAGTACTGGGACTGCATGGCTTCTCAGTGAGGCTCAGAATGGAGGAAGCTAGCTGTGGCATTCCTCCTGGAGAGAAGGGCTGGCATGGAGGACAGAAGGCTGGCATGGAGGGCATGACCAAATGAAAAAGGCAATAAAAGCTAAAACACTTCTAGGACTGGGACTACAGCGAGGCTCAGAATGGAGGAGGATGTGGCTTTCCTCCTGGAGAGAAGGGCTGGCATGGAGGGCATGTCCTGCTGCAGAAGGAGGAGGACCTCTGTTCCGCCGGAGCTGCCCTCTTTGCCGGACGGCCAGCCCTTCCGCGACGCCGGAGAGTCCTCCTTCCTCCTTCCTCCTTCCTCCTCCGAGGCGGAGCTGCCTCTGCTTCCCTTCGGCCGAGTCACGCGGGGCCCTCTGTCCTGCGGGGCTCTGGAGCTCCTGCTGCCGGAGGACCCTCCTTGCTTGCAAGGACCGGGAGTCGGCTTCCCCCTGGCTCCCTCCTCCTGCTCACCTGCGCCAAGGTAGGGGGCTCCCTCCTCCGGGTGTAGGGCATATCCTCCAGCCACCAAGGAAGAGGGCCAGGCCCCGCAGCATGGAGGACATTCCGAGGAAAGTGGAGGACCCGATGAAAGGTCTAAAAACATTCCCAGGGATGTAAACTCCTGCTTCCTCTAGGTCTGCTCCATTATTTGTGGAATTCCTCCAGGCTGGACCCAAGGCTGATATGTAGGACAGAAGGGTGGAATGGAGGGCATGAGCAAATAAGAGCTCAAAGACTGCCAGAAATAGTGCACATTAAATTGAGGCACTGCCCTGGCTCAGTGCTAGGGAATCATGGGAACTGTAATTTATTGTGGCACCAGAGCTCTCTGACAGAGAAGGCTCAATGTCCCAGAAAAAAATACAGTTCCCATGATTCCCTAGCACTGAGCCAGGGCAGTGCCTCAATTTAATGTGCACTATTTCTGGCAGTCTGCTTAGGCCTCTAGAAAGGTGAATGCGTGCTTCTTTAGTCCAGCTCCAAAGGGAGATTTTGGCATTCCTCCTAGACCCAAGGCTGATATGTAGGGCATAAGGCTGGAATGGAGGACTTGACTAAAAATTAGAGCCAAA